ATGATTGAACAATTCTTTTATTATTGGTAAAGTTTTCTTATAATAACATGATACATTCTTCTATTTAAAAAATATATTTCTTAACTAATTATAATTATTATCTACAATTTATTATATTTGAATTTTTAAAAGTTTATAATCTTAAGGCAAAAGATTTATAAAATTATTTATTTGTGCTACATACAACAATGAAGGCAAAATTAAAAAAAAAACTTAAGAATAACAAAATTTCAATATGAATGCATATTGTAAAAAACAACCTCAATTTTATATTGATAGTTATTGAAGAAAAGAAATCTAAAAGCTACAAACACTTATCATGAGCAAAGATTGTACTCTAAGAGAAGTGTGGAGAAAGATATCTTTTACTTCCAATACTTTTTACTAAGAAATACACTCTTTGTACCTTTTGCATCAAGTTTGGACCTTATACAATCTAGTGTTTTTGCATATGCAATGCAAATAAAGGTCATCATATACAAAATACAAGGTTGTCTCCCATTCCAAGCTTCTTGTGGTGTCATTGATGCAAGAGCACTTGTTGAACACCTATTTCTTGTATACACTACATTCACCACAACTTCCACTCAAAACTCATAGCTAAGGTTTTGAGAATGAAGCATGCTTCTTGCTATCTCTACAATGGTTCAATTTGCTCTTTTAGCAACACCATTTTATTGTGGAGTGTATGGAGTTGTGGTTTGTCTAACAATTCCTTCATTCTTCAAATAAACATCAAATTACTTAGACATGTACTCACCTCCATTGTCCGTACACAGTACCTTGATCTTGCATTCACTTTCTTTCTCAATAAGTGTTTAAATTCCTTAAATTTCCAAAAGCATTCACTCTTAGCTTTAAGAATGTAGATCCAAAGCTTTCTTAAATAACCATCAATGAAAGTGAGAAAATACCTTGATCCTCCAATACTTGTGTTCTTCATAGGTCCACATACATCCAAATGGACAATCTCTAGTAACTTGGTAGCACATGTTGCTACACTCCTTGGAAATGAGGCCTTTTGTTGTTTGCCTTGTATGCATCCTTTGCATATAAGTTGTTTTGCATTTTGGCTTGTATTGCTAAGATCTAAGTCACTTAACATAGTCTTGAACTCTCTCATCCTCTTCACATTCAAATGGCCAAGGCGATGATGCCATATATTTAACTTATCTTGGTTTGATGTAAACTCAGCAAATGCACCTACTTCCACTCCATTCACCTTCTTACAAATGAGGTAGTACAAATTTCTCTCTTTCAAGCCTTTGAAGACCTTGTCTCCACTCAATGTTCTTACAAAACATCCATTCATGTCGAATTTAACTTTAAAATCTTCTATTATAAGTTTATTCACCAAAAGTAGGTTTTGCTTCATCTTAGGTACATGAAGGACGTTTTTGAGTCTAATCCTATTGGTTTGTCCATTCACAACCACCTCCACCATAATAGAGCCAATTCCAATAGCTTCACATATGCCACTATCCGCCAACACCACGTTTGATGCTAGAATAGCCTCATAAGTATCAAATGAACACTTATAAGGTGTCATACGCTTAGAAAAACCTAAATCTACAATCCATCTTAACATGGCAGCCATAGAGGTTCCATTTGTTGCTGTGAATGCATAATCTTATCCTCCAAACTCATCTTGCACATTATTTGTATTCTCCTTCTTCATCTTTTTGCCTTTGTAGTAATTTTGAGCAAAATGGCCTACTTTGCCACAAATGAAGCAAGTTTTGACATTACCTCGTTAATTTGGATAGTTGCCCTTGCCTTGACATGAGTAGAGTGCTGAATCTTCACTTTGGGGCTCCTTTTCTTTCTTCTTGGTTACTTCATGGACAAGTCTTGCAGTCACATAGTCAATTATAAGCTCCTTTAGCTTGATGGACTCCAATGCCACAATAAGGTAGTTGTAGGATTCGGAAAGGCTTATTAGTAAGGTCATGACAATATCACTTTCTTCTAAAGCTTTGTCAATAATTGCTAGTTGATTTGCAAGAGCCTTTACGTTATTGACATGAGCCATGAGGTCTTCACCTTCTTCAATCTTATAAGTAAAGCACTTTCTGCTTGTATAAATGATGTTGGATAAGTTTTTACTCTCATAGATATTATAAAGAGTCTTCCATACTTCTGCTGATCCTTTGCAAGAGATAATGTGGGAGAAATTGGCTTCATCCATATTGGCTGCAATTAATCCAAAAGCCTTCTTTCCGCGACGTTTGAACTCTTTCTTCTCCTTCATATCAACATCTTTGCTTGGAGCCTCTTCACTTTCATCTACAATATCCCAAAGATCCAGAGATGCCAATAAAAGCTCCATTTTTACCTTCCAATGGTAGAAATTCTCATCTCTAAACTTCTCAATAACTCTCAATCCTTCACCCTCACTTGAAGCGATATCTAAGGAAGAGTTTTATCAAAAAAGATTGTAAGAAGAAGTCATAATGCTCTCAAAATCAGTAAAAAAGTTTTGCTATCTTAGAATCACAGAATCCTTCTTTGTGAACAAACTAATATTTTTACTCTCAAAAATACTTTCAACTTCACTTCTAAGACTGTCACAAGTCTGATGACCTATCTAAGTGTCTTAAATCTGATTTTGCACTCTAATATCACTCTTATGCTCATAAATCACCTATATACACCATAAGAGGCCTTTTAAGCACAATCAACAAGTTTAGGACATGAAATTATAAAGTTAGATCACCAAGGATCTATCTCAGCAATAGTACAATGCAAACTTTGCCTTTAGGTGAAAAAACCAAACACCAACACCAAAATGCACTTAACCACAAATAAGAGTAAACCAAGATCTACATCTAGATCTGAATCTGAAAGTTAGGTACTTCTAAAGCCAAACATCAGCAACAACAACTTGATCTATTCTACACTTACAAAACCACTTTAAAGAACTTCAAAAAATACTCAAACAAATGTGAGTGGGCCAATAACCTATTGAAGAAAAAAATTCTAAAAGCTACAAATACTTAGCATCAACAAAGATTGTATTCAAAGAGAAGTGTGGAGAAAGATATCTCTTATTTCTATCACCTTTTACTTATAGATGGAATTTACATCCCAAATACATAGACTTCATCTAGAGTCACTTTCATCCTTTCAATCTAGATCTATATATATATATATATATATATATATATTATCATTTTTATTTGAGAGAATTCTTACTTATTTATTTGTATTTATCAATTTCTTATCCTTGACATATGGCAATAATTCTATTGCAAATGAAGCTTTTTATGGAATCTATTTCAATAAGACAATAAGTTCATATTTCTAAATTGATTACAAAGAATATTAAAAGAGTCACAAAGAATAAAAATATTAAATATTATAAAGTAGTAACAAATAATAAAACAAAAAATAAGAAAATATAAAAAATCTTATTTATAAAGTTATCTTTTTTATTTTTTCCAAGATGTATATTACATTATTTCTAATTTTTAGTCAAAAACATCTTTACAGTAGCAAAGACTAAAAAACAAGGAGATATAGAACTTAGCTATCTTTTGAATATTCATTTGACTATTTGTAATAAATTACTTTTAATCTTTGAAAAGTTTTAAAAAAAAATTAATTTATATAATAGCGTAAAAGATAGAATATCTTTGTTTTAGAAGTCTTGCAAACTTTATATTTTTATATAGCATATGCCAACTAAATGATAATCATTATAAAAGTGCATAGTTACAATTATCAACTCTAAATCTATTTTGCATAGTCTTGTATGTAAATGAAAATTCATAATTTGTAATATACTATAAAATAATAAGTAAAATATAATTAAAAATATAATTTCTAAAAAGGATTTCAAAGTTCATCTTGAATCTAAAAATCTTTTGACCAATTGACCAAATTATTGTCAAATATTAATGCGATTTATGTTTTATTTCTAAAAACTTTTTTTGATTTCCATCAACTATTAAGAGATTTTGGTAGGTTGTTTAAAGAAAAAACTCTAATTATAAATGAATTGATTTATGTAATAAATACAACTTGTGAAAGATTTTAGTTTATAAACAATCAGGCTGATTGCTTCTCATATTTATTGGACCCTATTTTATTAAAGAAAATAGAAAACAACTCAAAAACGCTCTTGAAATTCTTGTTGATGATACTATTCTTGTAAATGATATTTGGCAAGAGAAACTCTATTTGCCTTTCACGTCATCTCAACTCAACCATTTAAGCTTGAGAATTTGTTTCGGTTTAAAATGTTGAACGATAAACAAAAGATTTAGTAGTAATATTGGCAAGCCGATGGAGTTGAATGGTCATTCCTGCAATACATTGCAATCAAGTTGTGTACGATAGCTACATCTAGAGCATTCTCCGAAAGAATCTTCTCAATATTTGGCTTCATCCACTCAAATTTGAAAACTTGTTGAGTGCTGAAAAAGTGCACAAGCTTGTCTACATTGAGACAAACGACTCCTCGGACACTGAGAGTTTGGTCGACCACAACGACTACTTGTCGTTACATGCAAAAAATGACGAATTGAAGAGAATGCAAAGCAGCTCAAAGCATCCAACGCAGTGGAATAAGACATCAATGACTGGAGGCAGAGGCCGACACTTCCCCTGGTCTTGCTTCAATCATACAAAATGGATTCAAAATCAAGACTTTCCCTGTTCTCACCTTAAATTTACCCTTGACCAAGAAGGAAGATTGTTGTCTTTTTGCCATTCATTAATGGGATTCATTCAAATAGAGCCTTGTTATTTATAGGCTTAATTCAGGTGTTATAGTGTATATTTTTAAACATAAATTTCATTTTTTAAAAACTAGGTTTATTCCATCCCTGTTCTCACGAACTTCAAATCACTTAAGTTTGTTCCCACAATATTTTGGAGATACGCATCACAGACAAAGTTTGATTTCAATGGAGTGTGAAGATCTTTCATTGTACCAAAGCAACTCAATCCACAGAGAAAACGAAAGTGCAGCGATTATTTTAGTTTAATCCTTCACGGTTGGAGATTGCTAAGTGCCCAGCGGCGGACATGAATTACGAATAAAGTTTCCGTAAGTGGAAGTGATGTGTACAATGAACACCGTCGTAATAGCAGCCTCTACAGCATGACAGATCTGCACTGCTTGTCTACACTGTACTAGCTTTCAGATGGCTCAGAAAATGTCTGAAACAGAGATTTAGGTTCACTCTTGCAATCGCGTTTTAGTTCAACGATGTCTACATCGTTACGATATCACATAAAGATCATCTACTAGAATTCACAGCTGGGTGTTCAGTTGATCTATAAATTCAAGTGAGGGAGTTGGAAATCCATGCAATGGATACGGCTTGTCGTGTGGAACCTGTCACAGAACGCAGAGTTCATTTCATGCGTCAGAAGGCTGCCCCGGTGGTAGAAGACACTTATATATCAGCATTGCGTGGATTGAACAAATGAAATCGATTTCATGGTCGGCAAACATACAAACCCGAACATAATATGTGTAGAAAAATACAAGGTGCGATGAAATGAAACCAGACCTAGTCAACATATCGAAGCCTTCAACCCACCTATTTCCATTTGCCCTTCCCAGATTTGTCTTTCTTATCCTTCTTATCCTTCTTATCCTTTACTTTCATTTTTCCTTCGCCATGTTTGCCGGCATGGCCTTGAGAGTACATGCCATAAGCTCCCATTGCTGCTGCACCAATTGCGGCAACACCAGCAACACCAGCAACAGCATACGGTACAGCTGCAGTAAACCAGGAAAACCAGTCAGACATTATGCATAGATCGTTCTTTTCACTTCACTGCCCACTGTTTAAGGAGATGAAGAATATAATTATCGCCTTCAAGACAAGGAGGAGCAATACCGTGACCAGGGTAACCATGTGGATTTGGAGCATGGATAGGAGCGCCGGGCTGAATGTAGCTCGGAGCGGTAGCATGACAAGGTGCGCCAGTGTCTGCGGCATAGCCAGAGGGAGGATAACCAGCGGGAGGGTAGCCAGATGGTGTTGCTTGAGCATAAACAGCGTGCTGTCCACTCGGTGGGTAACCTCCTGCATGTGGCGGATAACCTCCTGGAGCGACAGGAAAACCTCCAGGAGCGGCAGGATAAGGTGGAGCGGCAGGGTAAGCTGGATTGGCAGGATAAGCAGCAGTTCCATATGCGGGTTGGGCAGGATACTGTGCTACAGGATATGCACTCGCCCCTTGCGCGTGACCAGCTCCATGTTTGCCCGGCTGTAGCTCAGAACAAGCGATGATCCACATGAGAAAATGCTTCCTTTGGAAGATTGATAACTGATGCATTAGTTTGAAAAGGAGCTACAATGCTAATGAACGAATTGAGGAGTTTCATCATATGAAATAACAATCATAGGAGGGAGAGGAAGTAAAGTTGAAGGAAGTTAGGAGTGTACCTTTGCGCTCGCGCCTGGGCTGTGAAAGTGCAGGATCAACCTTAACTCTCCTGCATACTTCCCACTATGAGACTTCAATGGCCAAGTCGAGTCATCGTATCCTGCTGATATGGCTTTCTCGAGCGAAATCCTACATGGGAGACAAGCAACGATTAGTCTTGCACGCAATATGGATTGCTAGCTCGAGCAGTGCACACCCTGAAATGGCTGCTATGTGATCTGAAAGGATTGAAGTTCCTGCTCATCTTGGAAAATGACCTTTTACCTTGTACTGCCAATGAAATCGTCGGTGGAAAGTGTATTGCTATTCCAGACGGTAGCAGAAAGTTCTCGCAAACCTTCGATTAGTTTTACCACAAATTTTTCGTTGAACGAGGGGGTTAAGCCTCCGTCTGCAAGTTCGAAACGAATTTTCTAAGTGAGAAGAAGAAATGATCGATGAAAGCAGAGATCATGGACTCAGACAGTTGTGGTGCCCCTGCATGCACATGACAAGCCGGAGAAACTGTGCCTACGTAACCAACAAGGTAGAGGATATTCTGTAAATTGAATTAATGTGCTACAGAGGAGGCGTAGCGGAGGTTCAAATGTAGCAGCGAAACCTGTGTCAGTCCGTGTGCGGTGCTTAGTGGACCCATACTCGAGGTGAACGTATGGGTCCTGCTGTGAAAACCATTCCGTGTCTTTGAGGTTAGAACAGCCAAGAACTGCACATTGACCACAAACCCGCTCATTAGCATCTAGAAAAAATAAACTTTCTTGAAAAGGCATCGATTAAATAATCGAGAATGGGAAAGAAAATGTAGGTTCAACGAGAATGCTTTCAAAGAACACTCTAAATGAAGGAGAAGGAATTCTAACCATTGACTTCTAGCATCTGATTTTGGATGCTGCACCCTCCGCCGTGGCCTCCGGCTGGGGCAGGATAGGCCATTTTGAAGTATCGCACAGGGGACTACCAGTAAGACAGTTCACAGTAGTAGGAAAACTGCACAAACACGAGTTCAGTTCAACGTTATACAAGTAAGAAGAAAGACATAGCAGGCACGGGAAAAACTGCACAAATACAAGACATGACCCAGAGCAACATCTTCCTGCAAAGTACCCTGTGCAATAAAGCAGGTCCGGAAAGACTGGAGTAGTAGCAAAACAACACCGGTGATTGTATGTGCAAACCAACTCTAGATAAAGTACCCATAAGCTCAACAAAACCTCCAAACTCCGAGCGAAATAACCCGCTACTTTCGACGACTATTGCCAGTGCAAAACTCGGACACACAAGAACATAAGTGAAGGACAAACTCGCGAAAAAGTACGTGAAGCAATCTTACAAAAACGTCGAAGACCTTTGTCCAATGCCGCTGAGAAATGCACGCAATCACTGCAACTCCAGTCCAGTTTACAAAATCCCAGCTTCCTGATTCCGATCAAACTACTTCAAGACCCCTTACCAGAGAAGGATGCACAAACCAGAAGTTAAAAAAAACTACCAATTCTACGAATGTGCAAGTGGGGACTATATGGTAACAGAAAGAGAAAACAATCCCGACAATGAACGAGTTTCTCACGAGCCGCAAAGCTCACGCATCTTCCGATATGCTCCAGAAACAGGGATTAGTATCAAAATCAACCCGGAAGTTCGGACAAGCGATAGAAGCTGCTCACGAAAATGGGGATCAATACATTGTCTTCTTCTGCATGATCGCCGCTATCACGCCGTGGGTGGTATCAAATTTAGCACCGCGCCAGACTTTCATCGACGCGTATTTAGTTTCCCACTTGCAATTCAGCGATCATCGTTGTGAAGTCTTCGCGCAGTGAGTCAGAAGGAGTGTTGACCATTGTGTCAGATCTGCTTCGGCAAAAGAATTGTTTACGGGAACGCGGTGCCGGGAGCATCGGAATCAATACCTGTCGGCAATGGAACTGACTCGTCTCGTGTACCTTACGCTCACCGTAAATGGATCTTCATTTTTTATTACCATTTGGTGGGACAGTTTGGGGTGAAAAATTGGACTGGGTTTGACCGTTTTGTACAAATAAATCTGATACTTTTATGCATTGTTGATGTAGGTGTAGTTTAAACAATAATCCCTTCGTTTGAGGGTTTTTTTTTTTTTTTTTTTTTTTTTCCATCTTCTTCTTCACAATTTTGTGATTCTTGTGCTATTCTAATCCTTTCTAGGAGTATTTATTTATTTATTTATTTTTTGTTATGAATTCCTACATGATGTTGATTCCTTTTTCCATTTAGTCATATCATGTCATGGATTTGTACTTGATGACAATTGTATTCTCATTTTATTTCATTTTATTTTATTTTGTGTGTTCAATTGTGTTTTGTTAAATACTCTTATGTGTGTTGATTACATTTCTATTTGACCCCACTTCGTCATGGACTCCTACATGCATTGATTACATCTCTATTTGATAATATTTTGTTATGAATTTTTACATAGTATTGGTTAATTTATTAATTGACCATATCTTCTTCTGGTTTTCACATAGAATTTATTTTCTTCGACATATTTAATATCTAAATTGCTTAGATTATTTTTATTACAAAACAACAGCCTTGTTAAAATCTCCTCAATTTTGAATGACAAAAAAATAATATTATGATTTTTTCTATGCCTTCTTAGCCAAGGAGCATTTCTAAAATTATAAAATAACTTGTGCACTATTAAAAGGATATTGAAGGAAGAAAAAAGAAACAAAGAAAGAATACCAAAAACAAAATAGCTATCAAATAAACCAAGTTTTGTCCACTTGAGTTTGGTCTAATATATTCTATTGTAAATTCTAATCTTTTTAAGTAAATAGTAATAATGAAGATATTTTATTTTAGTTTATTTTTTTATAATTTTTAAGATATACAAATAATTGGTTTGTTGTTTGTTTGTTTTCAGAATTTTACATTTATTGTTTGTACAACACCAGTCATGGCCTCACATTCTTTTGGCACATCGTGCAATAAAATAGTTTGATTACTTTGCTGACAATGAATAATGAATTCCACAGATCAAGAGAAAATTCAACTTAGTTGACATTGAGACGTTTAACAACTTGGACCATAAGCAGAGAAATTCAATAGAGTGTACTGTTGAGTGTGGAATTGAAGGAAAAAATAAAATAAAATAAAATAAAAAAAGGCCCCCAAAGAGTAACACTGCACAAAATAGTACATACGAATTGCACAAAATAGAACAAAATAGCACAATTTGGCCGTAGTGGAATACATACCCAGCTGGTACGTGGTACTGGATGAAAGAATAATCCTAACGGCTATTTGCACCAAAACATTTTAATAAACCATTAACCCTATCCAATTGAAATACGATACAACAACAAATACAGCTAGTTCCCCTACGTTCCCTCCCTCCGTTCCCAGAAATTGGATCGGCGATTAAGACTGAATCCGAGCGGCAGCTGCGATCCGACCGTCCACGATGGCCGAGGCAGTCGATTGAGTTGGGAGGTTTCAAGGACACAGTTCTACGAGGACCCGACATCAATGTCTTTACAAACGCATGGATGAAATAAAATCGTGAGAATGCGAGTTGGGTATCTGTTCTGCAAATTCGGCACAATTGCAGTTCTATTTACGATTTTACCGGAGTGATGATATCAAGTGGCATCAACCGAAAATAGAGGGTTCTGCTAACTGCATATAAAAAGTCCATTGCGGCATGCCTACATCTGATGGTAAGAGATGTGTTGTGTGTATCGTTCATGAAGATGTTCAAACAGCACATACCGTAAATATGACTAGTGACTAAGAAAGGAGAATGCCCATTTATTCCAACAGGACGTAAAAATCGTTCCGTTTGTCGGCTTTGGCACCAGTATATTCAGCACCGTCACTAAGAGAGGAATCAGAATTTATATGGTGTACTTTCTCATGTGCCTCTGCTGCTCGTTGGAACTTGTGAACGAAGTCTTGCAGCTCTATTTTCCGGGACATGACAGCTTCTTCAGAAGGCGGAGGCTTGAGACCGAGGCGCCGGATGCCAATCAGACACGTGATGGCGCCAAGGGCAAACAAAATGACAGAAAATACGGCAAATGCATAGGGGGAGTGGCTGTTCCCTGGAATACCATCTAAGTTGATTCCAAAAAGTCCAACAATAACCGAAAGAAGGAGCCCACTTCCACCAATTACTGACAAATTGTGTGTTACACGCACACTCCGCTCTTGCAGTTTCTCCCTCACGTTGTTCAGCATTACGTCTTGGACCGTGAATAAACGATCCCTCACTGCATCCTGCTCAGTCAACATTTCACGAGTTTTCTTGTGCACTCGCTTTAAAATATGCAACGCAGTTTCCATCTTCAAATGAGTCATAAGCTCATAAATGATCTCCTCGCGCGCATGTAAGGACCACTTTATTCTGATAACCTGGTGTATTCGTATTTGCAATTAGAACACATGGTAGAAAACTATTCCACAAGTACACAATATTTAACTAATACAAGCATATACATGCATATAATTTGTGACAAAATAGATCACTTGTATATATGTATGTATGTATGTATGTATGTACACGCACACAAAATTAAATATTTGATTTAAAAACACACTTCTGTAAAATAAGCGACATTGATGCTTGAAGAAATTGCAACAAATCTAAAGCACGCTGACTGTGTATGGAACGCAACGAAAGTACAGCAGTTATCTGCATTAAATAATCAAGAAGACACAGCATGCATATTCAGAGACACGTGTGATAGGGTGTACCTGAGTGGCAAGTCGGCGAATTTCTTGGTTCAATATTGTACTGAGCAACGCCAAATCTTCGTTTGTTTTCCTGTTGAGAATTCCTAAATGGTTAAGTTGCACAATTTTTGAAAGAAACGAGCAGTTTTTCATACCCCTATGAAAAGAGAACGTCAGTCTCTGCATCATATTTAAAAGAACCACTTCAATTTGGGAAGGATTGAATAAATTAATTTAAAAACGTCTTCTTACTATTGACCCACTATTGTTACTCTTGTGACGTGCCACATTGTGAGATATAACGATAGTTCTCAGCCTGTTCGACATTGCTCATGTCAATTCTTGATCATAGATACAGACACGGAGCTTAAGGTTTACTGCACGACATAATGGAGTATACTGGAGATTCCATGCTATGTATTTCAATAGAAGAATCACTGAGATGACTAGCCACTACCTGTCAGTCTGCTTCCACAAGTACAAGATATTTCAAACTTCCATCGCATACCTATTGACATACTTCAGCTCAATTTCATCAGCTGCACCAAAGAAGTGTTTCCTTGACATCCTGCACATAGAAGTTATCCAGAAATGTTCACAAAAGATCTGCAATATGAATGTATCACAGATATGAATCTAGCTAAGCGTCAGAAGAAGCATGGTCACTGTGAGGCCTTGACATCAACATACTGATCGGACATTGTAACAAAAGTGCCGTTGGCACCACAAACTAACTTAACTGTGGTCTTTCGTTCATGGCACCACAATTGTGGAACCTTAGCAAACATGAAGTTCGATATCGTAGTGTTTGAGATTAAATCTCTCAGGGAAAATGTGAACCTCCTAGAGGATATTGTCTTGATTAGTTAACAAGAGCATAACAAGTTGCAACCGTCTTCCTCATTTTACACAAGGTTCACAAAAAAAATTGGGTTTTATACACAGCAAATTTGAAGGATATTGGTCCGCTTGCCACTTACCGATCATCCCATGTGGCAAGGCGACTAGCAAGCTGGGCAATAACTTCTTGTACAGACTTGGGGGCCTCAGTGCCACCCGCACCCACTAAATCCTGCAAAAATATTAAGCTGCGCTGATCAACCTAGTGAATCCTGCTTACTAATGATCAAGTTAAGCTGTTGTACTGATAAACCTCCGACCATATTCGACACATGCATGAACTAGATGAAAGTACGCAACATCACGTATCAGCAGCCTGAAGTTCAAAAAGTGCAGAGGGTGTACTTGGACTTCCAAAACACCGAGTACGTTAAGGTTGTGCACAATGTCCTTCACATGCATTGATGTAATCAGATAATTTTGCGATTGCCATGAACGAAAGACCACAGGAACATCATCTTCATTGCGAGTTGGATCACCCACAGAAAGGCCAGTCAGCTCAAACAACAGGCCTCCTGCTACGCGTACCGGTACCTACACGATTCTCCTGGCGTCAATAATCCTGATCCTAAACGAGGACAAGTAATCAGTTCTTTTTGTGAGAGGATCTAGTAAAGTTCGAAGCTATGCTCTAAAATGTCCTCGACGAGGTAAGCAATATCAAAAGAAAAACAAAAAAGAGCAGAAATAGAACCTCGTAGAGCAGATGTTTCATACGGTCACTAATGAGTCGTTTCTCATCTAGAAGAGCAACACTAACAGCTGGATGCAGCCACTGAACGTTTGAAAAGAAATGTTGGATACTAGGATGCCTTGCGTCAATATGGCACCAGAATGTCGGCCCTGCCCGCTTTTGCCAGTAAGGTTGGGCTACGTCAGCAACACTAAGAGTCTCGTCTTGGTCAGAAAACTCCTCGTCCACGACCCAATCCGTATCAGTCTGTAGACAGTAGATAATGAAAGATGATAAATCGTAACGAAAGATAATTCGTATGAACACCACACAACTGGAACAATGTAAACTTACCCTTATTACTACAGTACTGTACTTTGAGGAACATTGAATTGATATTTGAGCCTTTTTTTACTGAAGCAAACCTCCGAAATGGAAAATTTAACAACACACTACACAATGCCTACCAAACCTTCAGTTACCAAAAGAAAAACCACATGTCCAAGGAGCAATAAGTTTTGAATACGACGTAAAATATACAGAACGTAAGTTTTATTATCACCTGTAGTGATTGAAATAACCCTGTTAGCCGATCCCAACCGATAGGAATCCAATGACTCTGTCCCTTCTTCATACTCGATTGATGATCAAGTGAGGGATCGTGGCTCGGACTAGATGGATTTAAATCGTTGGCATGATCTTCCTTCAAACTCTCCCGCACAATAAACCCTTGTATCTCAGTTCCTAGACTATCTGGTGACGAATCTGGAGAGTCTGATCTTTGATCATCGGATTTGGAAATAGAGCTGTTTGCTATGAACTTATTTGACTGGTTCAAATCAACCCTCGAGTTGTCTGATAAAGTATGCGGTTGCTTCAAAGATATTTCCGCCTCAAATTGGCCTTGAACGGCCCCTTGAGTGTTGAATTCGCCTCCCACCTTAATTTTTTTCGAAGGAGCAGGAATGAACTCGTAGGCACATAGCAATCCATCCACCCAAAGATCTATTGTACTCATGTTTGTCAACCTGGAAGACACAGATTGAGTAGGTCACGAGCGCTACAAAGACATGTTGAATTCTCTAATGCAGTTTTCCCAGGACATTCCTGCACACGGGTATTTAAACCCCTAAACACTGAGCTCGAAAACCAATGTCCTGACTCGTAATGCCACCTTCAACCTACACGCACAGCTCCAAACACCAGTTGTGCGATCATGTAACTCGACAAATAGACTCAACCATCACACGCGTAAGCAACTTCATATCCTGCCTTTAAAGAGAGGAAAAGCCAATATCAAACGCACGATACCCACCCCAAAAAATTTAGTCCAACATCAAGACTAGTGGGTCTACGTGCGCAGTATTTGACAACGAAAATAAATATTTAGAACTCTGTGCTTTGACCAAACGTGTGAAATACCTTATGTAACCACATTTCACAAGTTCTGTCGAGAATGGTAATCGCGATGGTTTTGGAAAAAACAACAATTGAATTCCGCCCTCAACACAACCTTGCTAAAGCGAAACTTCTCACATTTTCCATGCACAACTGTTGGAAAGAAACAAACGTCCGCAGAAGAAGAATTTAGCGCTTGGAAGAAATTAAAATCTTTCCCCCAATAATTTATCGCTGAAAATCTCTAGACAAACCCATGCATCCAACCTGATATTCTATTGAAGATTTTCACAAGCTGCCACAATGTATCCCTCGTCTAATATGGACTGCACAACCACTGTTGAATCCCATTCCCCAATCACATTGTGGAACGCGACACTTCGGAGTGAATATTCCAGCTATTTAACGGTCTGAAAGACTAAAAAATAATGACCTCAAACCTGTTGAGAGATATCGAACTGCAACCCACACACGAATCGATCACATTTCCGAGGAGAAAACAGATCTACGTGATTTCTAAGTCAAAGCTCTCAAATCGACAATCTCCAGCAGTTTCCTCTTCCAATTCTGCACTATATGCATTTCAATGCACAAAACGTGAAAAAGAGGAAGAAAAGATAAGAGAACAAGCAGCGATTGAAAAAAGAAAAGGCCGAAACCAAAGTTCGAATCGAACCAATTCTACTGGGGCTTTCCCTACACACCTGCCAGCAGCAGCGAAGCTCCAAAATTGTAGAAACCTTTCTCAAAGAAACCCACGATAAACCCAAAGAAGCTAAACCAGCAATACGACCTCAAAAGCCGAATTCAACGCCACAGTTCACAAAATTAGCAAACAAAACTGACGAAAAAACCAACTCGCAAACAGAACCGACAAGGACACCAACTCGCAAACGTTAAGCCGGAGTTCAAAGCATGCTTTTGCGTCGAACTCACCTACCTTATTCCGACCTATCTACGAGAAGGTAAGGTGCAAGTGTAAGGTTGAGAGCCGGTGGCCAGACATACTCCTCATTGGAACAGCCAAGTGTAAACTGCACCAAGAGAATCCTGAGAGGAATCCGTCACGAGGATGAGACATGCGAAACTGGAGATGGTCACATGTGGAGCGGCGCCAAGTAAGCAATCGCCTTCTCTCTCCACATTTCTAAAAGGATTGTTCACACGGTGGGGCAAGACAACTTTCGATTTTTACGCAAGGGATGTCCTCCCGGGATGGCCGTTGACATAGGTTCGTTGACATCTGCAGCACAGAGGGCTGTTGACTGTCCCCTAAACTCTAATCCCTTGGTCTACACCCCTAGCCCTAAACCCTAGCGCGTTGAACTTATTTGAAATCGATGATGTCATACTGAATGGCAGTCAATGACCTGTGAAGCATTGAAGTTGGATACTCTGTCAGTCATACACATCATGGAGTGCTATGGGGTCGATAAATAATTGGATGAAGAAAGCACTGCCTCCACCGCACCGAAGGTAAATAGAAGCAAATGCTATCTAACAAGACCTTGACTGGAACCAATCTACATACATTTGTAATTGTTAGAGGAAAATATCAGAACAGAAGGGCGTTGGAGTAATCTAAAACGCTCCATGTAAAAAAAGCAGGAGAAAATTGAGGACTCGGATGCTTGGTCGCCACTACTACACGTCTTGAACCTGTTTTGTGCATAATCTCAACAGCTTTCTAGGCAGACAGTAGCTTCAGCAGAACTCCAGCTAGAAAACTGAGAACACAATCGTTATTAGGATTAACTAGGATTCAACGTTTAAAATACCTGAAATTGCCAATGCTTGTCTATCTAATTGTAGATCTACAGTGACCTTGAACACTGGAAGACGCAGAGCTACTTGAAAACCTAAGAGCTTAAATGTAGTTCTATTCAAACTAAGAGTTTTGATGAAGCATATGCCAGAAACGTATACAAGTTACCCCAATTTTTCATTTGGAAGTATTTCCTTGGGGCTTCTCCGGTATCCACAAATTTACTATACAATCAGCAATTCACATGCAATCTTGTTAGCAACAGCATAAACCAAGACAAGAGATCACACGCAAAATATAAAACATACACAATTGATGAAACCCAAAGTTGCCTAATTCCTCTTCAATCTTGAAAAGGTAGTGTTGTGTCCGATATATCCCGATGACAGACCCTGTGTGTCCGTTGGACATCAGTCTTGCATTGTTTGAGAGGTGTGAAAGAGCGGTTTTCAGCCTGCATGATGTCTCCTTGTCTCGCTCGTATGACAGCCCTCTACGTATTACATTAGATTCGGTCTTGGATTCACGACTAGAATGAGAAGTACCCATGATGCAAGCTTCTTAAGCTCCATTCAGTAGTTTAGGTGTCGCTTTCCTTTATGTAGCACTACACCTTTCCAAGCGGTTCAAATTTCTGCTCTGCAATCCCTCAGCAAGGCTGTGACTTTTGATTAGAAAAACGCAAGCATTCTTATTACTGTGAGTTTCTTGTTCTTCAAAGTGAATACGTATTGGCTTTCTCGAATGTGGATTCAATTTTAGGAATTCAAATGTTTTTTTTTACTACTGCTCACGAAATTTTCAACAGGAAAGAGTGTCTGTGAGCCGCAAATCATGAATTCTCATCCTCACAACTTCGATTCTCGTGTTTCATCTCGAAGATTGCTATTGTTTTCATTTTCTGTTGACTCCATCAGCAATCCTACTTTTTTCGCGTTTCTAGTTCATCGATCAAATATGGAGTCCACAGAAAATGCTATCTGCAATTTGTACTCTATGCCTTGCTGAAAATGTTTATCTCTACTAACATGTAATTTTCATGCTTTTTGTACATGTTTCCAATGTTGGTAATGTTCCAATTTATCTCAACATAACATCTAATTTTAGATCCATCGTTCTTTCTGTTGTACCAGTTTTGTCGAATCTTACTCATGTCATACGTATACTGTCTGTATAAATTCCTCCAAGGTCGATTCTACTTTCCTTAAGCATTGTCATTCTCATGATTCATTGTCTTTTCACCAGTATTCAGCTGACGCCCGAGATGCCACCTGTTCCTTCGATAGGAACAATAGATCAAGAAGGGTATACCTCTAAAGGCTTCTACATCATTGTCGAGCTCCACAACTGTCTTCACATGTTGAACCGAGGTTCAAATAGCTAAACAGCATATTCTAACGCTTACCAATGAAACATCCCACTCCACGCCGGGCCCTTCTCCTGATGCCAAGAACCGTCCCTGCGAGCGGGATGTGTGATCTAACTCACGGATAGCAGACGAGGACGAAGACGACTTAAATGCACAACAGGACCTCCGCATCTTTCAACTTAGAATAGATCTGCTGAATGTCCATTACTTGGCAACACACGCGTCAAAGATAAACGCACGCTTCGAATTTCACCAGTAATGGAACATCGCAATCTTCGCCACAAAATTCACACAGCCATTGCCGAAGGGATCATGCCACATACAACAATCGAACTCCCCGGCGTGAAAATTCTCTCGCAACCGTATCCGTTTCCTCCATATGCAGGCTTGGCTATGAAGCACGGGCGTCGTGAATGAGACAACAGCAATCGAACATGGACACGAAACTCCCTGCAACGTAAATTCTTCCAATCGCGATGCGATTCAAAGCACCGCAACCCCCCACTCATTAGCGGCACACCATCCTACATGCCCTATTAAATAATTTCAAAATGTATATTTTCCCCACGACATGGTCATACAACAAAATAAACTCCCAAATGGTTTATATTAATTTTTAAAGAAGGAACAAGAAAATAAATTGCTCTATTGAATCAAAGTTGTGAGGTTAAAAGTTCCAAAATCAAAATATTTTCTATATTTTTTTTTGTGAAACTGAAGAAATTGTGACAAAGCTAGCTTAAATATAAAAAAATTATATTGGTAAATCTCTACTAACATTAACATAAACATAGATACAATCATAGTGACAAAGTTACGCATATATTACATCATTTAGAAAACCTATAGAAGACATGATTGTACTCACTATTCTTCTTTAGAGGGAAATAAAAAAATAATCTTTATTTAGTTTTTAAGGTTCATTAATTAATAAAAAGAATTAAGTAAATTTATATTGATGCCATTAGAATAATAATTTACAATAATTTAAAGAAAATTTTTATTTTATTTATAAATTATTTTTTATAATATATAATTAAATTGTTTCTATCAGAAATAATTAGGTTAAAATTCATTAAATCAATTTCATAATTTATTTATAATTATTTTTAAATATAAAGATAATTAAGTTTACTAAATTAAATATATAATAAAATAAATTTAGATAAATTCATAATATTGATAAAATTGCATAAATTTTATATTATCATATAATATTATTAAATAATTGATTAAATTTTTATTGGATAATTTTGTAAAATTACAAAGTAAATATTGTAATAAGCATTTAAAAAAGAATATTTAAAATATCAAAAATTAATACTATTATAAATTTTTACTAATATTTAGTTAAAGTTTAAGTAATCCTATATTTAACATAATATTTTCTATATTAATATATATTCAATACAAATATTTTTAATTTTTTTGAATATAAATAATATACAAGACCAAAAATATAAAGCATAAGTTACAAACAATGTAGATAATGTCACTACATACTACACTATTATATTGCATTACATTATTGATTGAAAATATTATGATAAAACCATAGAGGTAATTAAAATTAAAATTTATTTGAAAAATGATAGTTTTAAATCTTTATTAATATAAAATATATAAGAATTAGATATCAATTTCTTTTATTTAACCACTAATTATTGTTTTTTATTTTTATTTTTTTAAATCAAAATCTTCACTCATATAAAAAAATATTTTTAAATATTTAGATTTAAAAAATATGTGATATATTATGAAAAGATACAATAAAAAATAAGTTAGTATTATATACATCTAGTATTTAAAACCAAAAGAAAACAATCAATTATAATGTATAAAAAATAAAAGTAATAAAATCTTATTTTATATTAAGAAAATTTCTAAATATCCTATAGTATATTACTATAAGCCAAAATTTATTCAATTATTATAGAAGGTTTATAATATATATATATATATATATATATATATATATATATATATATAATCAAGTGTAAGTTTAATAAAAAAGTAAAGCAAATTTATAACTTATGTTGTTAACAAATAGGTCTATTAATTTTTTTATTAAAAATTAATTAATTTAATAGTACCATACAACAAATAAGGTAAAACTAATAAAAAATATATTTTTAAACCAATCTTTTAAAAAGGTTAATACAATGAAAACAAATAATGTTTTTAATAGAACTAGAAATTATTGAAAAATACTTGTCTAATTTATTTTTAAAATTCATTACCTCAAAACTTTATTCAATCTCATAATAAGAAAAAAAATAAAAAGAACTCTATAGTAGATCCAGATTTAATAAAGAATAGAAAAAAGTCTTGCAATAAAAATATTTTTTAATCAATAAAGATAATATATTTAGTAATATAAGCTATATTAAGGGTCATCTTGACTTTAATAGTACCAACAATAAAGATTGTCTTCAGCAAAGTTTTTTTAAAAATTAAATTAAAGTTAAGACTATTTATAAAGATATATTTTACATTTTTTTTAGGAAAATTTATATCTAATATATCTATGCATTTAAAATATTACAACATACTATTCCTTCTTATAAAATAAACAAATAGTCACATGTTTTTAATACTTATATTTGTACTCATAAGCTTAATATTACATTATTCTGTATAGTTTCTAAGTTCATAAGTTTTAATTTGTCAATTTTGTTTTATATACTTATTTTTTAATCTAGTGTCAAATGCATTAAAGATAATTAGATCATGCTAAGGATTTATATAGTAATTAGAATGTATTGACTTTTTGAGTAGGATTCAATGTTATTGGTA